GGAAAATAAAATCTATCTTCTCCGTACGTGAGAAACCTTTTGGGGATAGGTTGTTGGGATAGGTTGGATAGAAGGCCATTTCATACAAATGAACAAAAATGCTATGAGATGGAAAATGGCAGTGTATTTTCCTAAGTAAATACTGAAAAAGCTGGAAGCCTTTCAAGTGCTTAAATTTTACTGCAGGAAAGACAACATTCTGGCGCATGTTAGGAGATACCCGAATAAGTGAGGCAAGATACAGCCCAGCTTTCTTGTTCTGAATTTATAATGAAGACAATGAGTTGTCTCTTTTGCTTTCTGATTTTTGTGTAGAGTGTAGTCAGTGGTAAAGAATGGTTAGAGAGCTCAAAGCCATAGAGAGAGAGCTCAGACACAGTGTTGAAATATGTTGGTAGGTTCAGGGTGGGGAGGGGGGAACCACCTGTAGCTGCAGACAACTGGAAAATGGCGTGGACCACATCATGAAACATCCTGTCGTACCTAAGTTTGAAGCTCCTTCCAAATCCCAGCATTGACCTTGAGAATGACATTCTCCAGTTCCTTGTGCTCTGAGTCTCTTTGTGTACAAGACTTGGCAGTCATCTTATTGCATCCAGCTGGAATAATAGTGTCGATGCTATTTGTTTAAATAATTCTTTTTTTAACACCTTTATTGTGCTTTGATTCCTGTACTACACGTATTTCAGATGTACAACTTGAACTTGATATACCCATGAAACCACCACCACAATCAAGACAGCTAACATTTCCATCACTCCCCAAGAGGTGCAAATTTCAGACTCCTGATATATCCCTTTCCACCCCCTTTAACCCCTGGTAACCATAAGTTTGTTTTCTATGTCTGTGAGTCTGTTTCTGTTTTGTAGATAAGTTCATTTGTGTCCTTTGTTGTTTTTTTTAGAATCCACATATAAGTGATATCATATGGCATTTATTTGTTCAAATAATTCTTAATGTACTAAGTTGATGAAGTTGTTAAATGGAGTGTTTGACTTTCATAGGATTTATGTGTGATCAGAGCACCTTTTAACTGTTGGAACATTAAGGCACTAAAAGTTTTTGTCATCTAATGAACATCAGTCCAATGTGAAATTAGGTTTTTCCAGTCGCTTTTATTTTAACCAACATTTGTGTTAAAATAGAATTCTATAAAAAATTCTTGGGAACCCCAAGATAGCCAAAACTACAAAGCTAAATCAAGGCAGTGTGGTACTGGCATAAGAACAGACATATAGACCACTAGAATAGAATTCTTTTCCCCCTTAATGTAGGCACTGGGGATTGAACCCAGGACATTGTGCATGCCGACCATGTGCTCTACCACTGAGCTGTAACCCCACCCCCTAGAATAGAATTGAAAGTCCAGAAATAATCCTTATGCTTGTGGCCAATTGATTTTCAACAAGGGTATTGCTATAGACTGAATGTTTGTGACCACCCCTCCTCCCATTCATGTGTTGAAACCTAATCCCCGATGTGATGGTATTAGGGGTGGGGTCTTTGTGAAGTGATGAGGTCATGAGGGTGGAACCCTCACCAAGTGGGATGAGTGCCCTTATAAAAGAGACCCCAGAGAGCTCCTTCACCCCTTCGCCATGTGAGGACACGGGGAGGAGTCGGCCATCCATGAACCAGGAAACGGAACCTCCTTAGACATGGAATCCGCTGGTGCCCCTAATCTTCAAAATGAGATGGTGGTGACAGTTACAACTGTAGAACTGAAACAAGTGGAAAGGAAGGAATAAACTAAAAACTATTGAATTGTATACTTTAAATGGGTGAATTATATGGTAAGTCAATAATGTTTCAATTAAACGTTTTTGTTTTTTTTAAAGCTAGGTTTTGGCTTAATCATACATTTTAACTAGTGAAAGAAATATGTTGAGTAAATGTTAATCATACGTTATTTTAAGTTCTGCCCATTGACTCCTATTTTAATTAGGGAAATACGCATCTCCAATTACTGCCATTGTGTGCCTAAGGCTGATGTGTTTGCATAGATCTTTTTGACCATGGAAATAGTTGTTCTTTAATCAGGTCAATAAAACAATTACTGCTGGCAGATGGATGTGCCTCCTGTTCAAGATTGAGGTCATTTTGAGCCCGTGGGCTGCGCAAACTGTAGGTGGAAAATTAAAACCACGTGGTGTTTCCACACCGCCAATGTCATCTATTAGATATGTAAATTTACACTTTATCGTACACTTTGCCAAATGTTCCCTCTCTGGTAATGAAGTGCTGTTGAGTTACCAATTTGTTAGAAGAGGTGGTCCTCTGTGGTCCATTTTTATTTCTTTAAGATAGAAAAATTGTATTCTTATTTTAAAAGCCATAGGACAGAAGACTTTCAAATGTTCCAGCTGTTATTTGAAAAATCAGTGGGTTCTCATTGGACGTGACCACATCTTTCTCAGATTTGACGAGGTGCTTTTTGCACAGCACCAGAGAAGTAACATGCGCGGTCTGGGTCTCATCAGAAGTCAAAGCCTTTTTGGGAAAAAGCAGATGGATGCTTTGGAGGAAAAGAATGTCAAAACGTGGTAATTTAAGAGAAATAGACCTGAGGCGTGGTGAGAACCGAGTCACTGGGAGGGTTCCCACAAGCTGTAGCCCTTGACTGATGCCTTGAAAATGAATAGAATTAGAACAAGTGGATAAGCAGAGGGAAGAGTGAGGAGGAATCTGGTTTAAGGAGCGGAGGCAAGAGGGTACACGTGGGGAAGCAAGAAGGGCCTGGTGGCGGGTGAGCACGGATGGCTTGGTTTGGAGGATGGAGGTCCACGTGGGTCCACAAGAGCCAATCCGATCTGGTAGGCAGGGGTTCCATTGTAGACTGTGGGAACAACTCAGTGGAAGTGTTCATTTTGGACAGATAAGCCTTGATCTGGGACTTGCGATGGGAGATTGTGGAGGTTGATTACCAGTTGGACAGCCACGGATACTGTCCAAGCCTGCAGCCAGGAGAGTTTGGATAAAGAGGCAGGGATGGATTTGAACTACACTCACACACACACATATTTGGTAACTAATCCAATGTGGAGAAGTCAGAGCCAACTAATGTCTACTTTAGAGAGAGAGTGTGTGTGTGTATTGTATAGAAAGGGGTTTTATAGACTTTGAATGATTGTTCCAAATAATACAGTGATGTGGGAATATAGTGTGAGTGTTATACAGATGTAGACACGGATGTCCAGAGAGGTAGAAGTTAAATCACATCCCAAGGTGACTTAGCTGGTAAGTGGAGGAGATGAAATTCCGAATGCCTGAAAAATGTAAGTGATGCCTTTGACAGGAGGGAGAGCATTGGGAAGCTGGAGGGGAGGCATCAGATGGGGGTGGAGAGGAATTCAACTTAGCGCATTCTGAGTTTAGAAGGATGTGAAATATTTAAGTGAAAATACGTGTATGTGTAAATCTGTATTGTGTCCATGGCACACGTATGCATGCATGTAGGTGCATACACACCATGGTTTGCGGGTGTGTCATGCGCGTGAAAGTATAGACCTGCATTTGTGCATGATGTATATTTCTATGTGTGTATATTGATGTGCATCCAGATATATGCCTGTCTATATGTGAGGTGTTTGCAAACGCAGGTATACATGTGTGTTTGAGCATGTATCAATGCATATATTGTGTGTGCACATACACCATACACATGCACATACCCAGTATACATCCACGTGTAAATATTACTTAAATCATTTCCATCCTTCTAAAGTTAAAATATTCGAAGTTGGAATCACCTTCCAAATCCCCATCAGAACTTTCTTCATCCTTCACCTGGATATATATGTACAGATATGTGACTGTCTACACATATATACACATACGTGTGTGTGTGTGTGTGTGTGTGTGTGTGTGTGTTGTAAATGAGCCCCTGGCACTTAGACAAGCAACCGTGGCCTAAAATTTAGAATTGAGGAGTTTCAAGCTAGAGAAAGCATTTGAATCTAATAGCGTGACTTCGTGACAGAGAGACCGGGCACCTCACTGAGCCTCTTCAGCATTCCTGGTGGATCATAAGGAGATGGCAGGTGTAGCCCAAGCGACGGAGGAGAGCGCGGGGGAGGAGGAATGCCTTCTTACCTGGGCAGGTGTTTCTAGGCGGTGCTTGACTGGAAGTAGGAGCGCAACAACTGTCGTCTGAATGTTTGTCAGTGTTTTGGGTTTTTAAAAAATATTCATTGTGCCCATACTAAGCACTAGACACCGAGTTGGGCAGGCGAGGGGAGGGGAATTTTCAGCCCCAGCCCCAGCCCTCGGGGTCCCCGGGCAGGGAAGCAGATCGTGCTTTAACCACCGGCTTAGCACGTGGTGAGAGAGGAAGTGGCTTCAGAGAGCAGGGAGGCTCAGGGCGCTGAGGGTCACAGACCAGGAGACCAGGGCTGAGCCTGAGCGCTGGGGGCGGGTGATGTTCCTCCAGGTTCCCCACGGAGGACAGGACTCCAGCCCTGCTGTGGCATCATCCAGGAGGAAGAGGTGTTTCACATAAACTCATGAGCTATGAAGAAGCAGATGTCTTTGGAAACCTGTCAACCAACTATTACCTGCTTTCTGAAGCTCTCATTTTGAAGTCTATCTTAGCACTTTTTTCGTGTGTGGCTCTTGCTTTTGGAGTTGTACCTAAACACCCATTACCAAACTCCACTTCATGCAGATTTTCTCCTCTATTTTCCTCCGGGAGTTTTATAGTGTTATGTTTCACATTTTGACCTGTGATCCGTTTGGGGTTCATTTTTGTTGGATGTATACATCTTCAGTTCAGGTTGTGCATATGAACATCCAATTGCTCCAGCACCGTTTGTTGAAAAGAATATCCTTTCTCTGTCGAGTTACCTTCGGCAAAAGCCAGTCGACAGTATTTGTGTGGGTCTGTTTGTGGGCTGTCTGTTCTGTTCCACTGACCTAAGCGTTTGCCCTTTTGTCAAAAGCACACCGCCTTGATCGACGTAGCTTTATAGTAAGTCTTGAAAGTGGGTAATGTGAGTTCTCTGACTTTGTTCTTCTTTTTCAGAATGATTTTGGCTGTTCTAGTTTCTTTGCCTTTCTGTAAGAACTTTAGAATTCGCTTGTTGATAGCTACAAAAAAAGATTTTGATTTGATTGCATTGAGCCTGTAGCTCAAATTGCAGAGAATTAAGCTATTGTTTTAAACATTGGTTTTTAAGTTGTTGGACTTGGGGACCTAGAATTAGAAAAGGCCCCAACTGAGAAACCATCCAAGCCGGTGAAACATCAGTTAACAGAGAAAAAGGGCCGGGGCCTGTGCTGTAGGTGGGAAAGCAAGATGGAGGTGGGAGCCATCTTGAGTGGGAACCTAAAATGGAGGATTTGGGAAGGGTGGTCAGAGAAAACAGAGAGAGAAGCTGAGTCAGGGTCAGTGACTGGAGACTGGATAACGTGCATGAAGATGGACTTTGGTCCCAGTGTGGGAAACGCGGGCCCAGGGCAGGGGCAATATCTAAGCATCTAATAAAGGCAGAAGACTGTAGATAGCTCTGTGGGACATGGTTGGGAGGCCTAGCAGATGGCCCCCAACATCACTTTTGGCCACTCCTCCCTTTAGGGAGGGAGAAGGCAGGAGGGCTGCTCTCCAGAGCCAACCTTAGCCCGAGCTGGTGCCCGGCTCCATGTTGGCCCTTGGGAGAACAGCAGCACTCCGAGTCTCCCCTGGGGGGAACCTTGAAAACCATCCATCTGGCCACAGGGAAGGAAGTGGAGTCTGCGGGAGGCATTTCAGGTATCCCTGATGGTTCTGGGTTACTGTTAAAGGGCTCAGAGCCCTTTCAAAGAATTGATTCTGAGCCAGAGAAATCCTAATTTCTCAACCCCCTCGAGCTCAGACTCAGTCTTTTGGAGAATTACTGTTTAGTGGCACGGAACACAACTCATTTCTTTCTTTTGCGACCTCTTAGAGATTTACTAGGTTGATGTTTTTAGGACCCTCCAAACGTTCCAGTCTGGTTGGCCGGCCAGTGCCTGTTGCAGCTTTAAGCGCCTCCGTTAGCAAAGACAAAGGTGACAAGGACAGCCTCTGAGGAGGACCAGTGATATGAAATGATGGCTTGCACTCCGTAGTCAAGTCCAGGGCCGTGGTGCCTTTCAGTCCTTTTTCCCCTTTTTATTAGTGGAGATTGGAAACGTACAAGCAAACATGGCAAGGGTGCCCCCTCTGAGGATGCCCCCTTAGTAAGTATTTACAATAACTGGATTTCTTCATTTTGTCAGTTTCTCCAGGAGGAAGGGCGATGTCAAGCTCCCGAGGAAGAGTGGAGGGTTTGTAATGATTATTTTTTTAATCAAAGAGTTTGATTGCAATTTAGTAAGAGGGAAGCTGATGATTACTCGGTGGCCCAATAAATATTTTCTAATAAGTTTTGAGGCCGTCTAAGGGGAGGCTTGCTTTAAGAAAATGGGAAAGCGCGCCAGCTGCCTTGGGGGAGGCAGATCCTGACATTCAGACACTGTTGCTAAGAGCAGCCTGGCTCTGCCCCTCCTCCTCTCTCTCCCCTGCTTTTAAAAAGCAGAAGCTTAAAAGCCTCTATTGTGTGGAGGGGAGGAAAATGCTAATTTGAGGCACAGTTCCCCTCCGAGTCTTTTTTGAGCCTGTCATAGCTGAGATATGAACTATGATAAAGAAGGCGAAGGCGGCTTCTGAGGGCTCGGCCCGCATTGTGCAGGGAGAAAGGGGCTGAGCTGGGCGGCCACTCCAGTCACCCGTGATGCCCCTGGGGGGTGCGGGTCCCCCACCCCAGATGAGTGGGTCCCCCTGGGCTCGCTGGCCCCGCCGTCCCCTTCGCAGGAAGGCTCTGTGCTGAAAATTATGTATTAAATGCGACAAGGCGGGGAAGTTCCGCAAGGGACGGGACGTGGAGGAGGGGGCTGCCACCACCTAGACCAGCCAAGAGAAAAAAAAAATGAAAATCAGAGTTTTGAAATGGCAGCAAAAACTTGATTATGCCAAGGTCCTGACTGAAGTGTGATCTCAATCTTTGCGCTTTCAAAGCCGGTCTGACCACGGTTTAAGACCTTTGGGGCTGTGTTTATTTTTGTCAAGTCTCCGCTTCCTCCATTGGTTCTCCCCTCGGATAAGTAGATGTGTAGCTAAATTTTCCTGCGTGCAACTGTGACTTTTATGTGGCAAATTAAGCCAGGATTTCTGTACAGTGAGATGACAGTGTTGAATGTGGAATGCTCCCTTTAGCAGCAGGAAAAACCTATTTTCCTATCTGCTCTGAGTGGCTGATTTTTATGTGGGGAAGTGCATTGATTAAATTCCTCGCGGACACGTTATAGCTCAGTTAGTTTTTTTAAAGTGTGAATTTTATAACTGAAGAATAACACATGCAGTAGCAAACAGCCCTTAAGACCTGCAAAAGTACTTCCAAATTGAAATTTCACACGACTCATTAGATGCGATTCGTATACCTGTCATGTCTACCTGTTGTGTACCCTGTGGGTTCTAGGATTTTATATCATCAAAACTAGAAAATGAATGTTAATTGAATTCTAGGTTTGCGTTGAGTACTGGGTAGATACGGATGGGTGTACGCTTTAGGTGGGAAAAGAAAATACAGGATGTCTTTACTGCAGTGGTCTCTAAACATACTTTGTTAAAAAATTAAGCGTTGCATCTTTGTTTCTCTTCCCGATAAATTCTGAAAAGCTCAAACATGATCAATCTTTGCACTTTAAAAACGGGAAGTTCCTCATACCCATGGAGTGTCTGTCATTGGCTAGAAATCAGGGTTAAAGTTCATTCAATTGCCTCTACAAAGTAGCTCACGTACCTGGATGTGCACAGGTATTAAGTGAACGATGCTGTGTGGATTTGCTTCTTTGTTACATTAAGGTCTGGAGTCTTTCATTTGGTGGGTTCTTGTTTGCTGGTGTGATAGGTGCAAGCGTTCTCATTAGAACTGAAGCTCATAAACAGCTTCTGTGAATCTTTAATGCTGGTTAAAGTCATAGCAGGCTGATGATCTCGTAGCGAAGAGGCAGATCAGCCACCTATTTTAGTGACTGCTGCTGGTCGCAGGCCCGAGACTTGTCTTGTTCAAATGTGCGTAGATCACAAAGTGATGGCTTAACGTGTTTCCTTTGTTCGTTTTTAAAACCTCAACAGGTGGCATAAGATCAGTATGCGTTTGTATGCGTTTCTGAGTCAGCTTCGGTGTGCCTGTAAGCCGCTGCTCCCTTCGCATCCGCAGGAGCTGGAGCTGGTGCGTGTCTGGCTGAGCGTGTTCACATCTAGCAGTGATCGTGTACTTACACGTTTCACTATAAACACGTAAAGGTTGGATGAAACTGGAGCTAAGCAGACCCCGAAATCCAGACTTGCCCTGGATTTGAAACGCGGTGATGCGTGGAACCCTCGTTGAGTTCTTGATGGTTCTGGAAGCCCACAGATTATGAAAGTACGACTTGTAAAAAAAAGTATCATATAATGACAGCTTTGAAAAGGCACGTGTAAATGATTAGCTTTTATCGACACTGAAATACAGTGAACACTACATATGGGGGCCAGGAACTGTTCTCACCACTTTGCTACGTTCTCTTTAATCTCCCAGTCCCTTTAAGGGGGTTACCGGTGAGGATCTGAGATGGAGTTGAGTAACTTGCCTCCCAGGTCGAGCTGGAGAAACACTTAAACTCCTGATTTTTACAGGGGAGTCTAGGACTCCCAAAGAAATTGTGAAATTCCTAAACGTATCACAGGGAGAAAACTCCTGCTCCTGACCCGTCAGGAACCCAATCAGGTAGTGTTCTTCTCTGAAGCCTTCCTTGTCCCCAGCCCGCCAAGATCAGCCATGTCCCCCACATCTTCCTGAGGGTTGTGGGTTGTGTAAGTTCCGGGCAGCCAAGGACCAGAGCCCTCTTGGTGGCCAGTCAGCGACACTGGTAACAGTTGCCCAGGGCCAGATGCGCGGCCTGCACCCAGGAACAAATCGGACATGGAGTCTGTGTTCAAGTGGATGTGCTGTGGTTCCAGCTGCCATGACAGCACCCGCACACCCACCGGTGATGAATAAATATTTGCTGAATCGGAAGTGAAGGTGTCCCTCTGCTCCGAGGAGCTCCCTTGCTCCTCAAATGAGAAGCCAGTGTAGATATAGAGAGAAGACTGGTTGTTGTCAGGGATGCTGGGTGGGCGGAATGGGTGAAGGGGGTCAAAAGGTACAAACGCCCAGTTATAAGACCCGTAAGTCCTGGGGGCCTGATGTGCAGCATGCTGACTATACTTAGTAACACTCTATATTTGACAGTTGCTAAGAGAGTAGCTCTTAAAAGTTCTCATCATAAGGAAAAAAAATTGCTGTGTAAGGTGATGGATGTCAACTAGACTTGTGATCATTTCACAATGTGTACCAATATTGAATCACTGTGTTGTATACCTGAAACCAATATAATGTTATATGTCAATCGCATCTCAATTAAAAATATTAATGGCTGATTCCAAAAAAAAAGCAAAACATCACAGTGCCTAGCACAATCCTGGTCATGTGATAAATGTGTGTTAAGTGAACAAATGAGTTACTGACTTAAGTTTTAGAACTGGTTTTAGGTGTTGCTAGTAGTCAACTGCAAGTAATTAAAAAGGAAAGAAAGAGTGGGCCTTTGACGTCTCCTGTGAATTTCCAGCAGTGACCGTTAAAATGTTTTTAATTGAGAAATAATGATGTATCTGGATTTTTGTTGAGTGAGGAAGAGGAACACAAAGAGAATGGAAATATTCTGGCTGAAAAGCTCAAAAGTTACACTTTCTGGCAAAGGTTTACTGCTTTTTATTTATAATGATAAAAATAATCATGTTTAATGCTAACAGTTTAAGTTGTGAAATAATTTCTGTCTTTGTCCCTCAGAATGTATTGAAATAAGCATGGGGTTAACGAGTTCAAAATCCATCTCATTTCCTTTAAGTACTTCCACTGGGTTTAGCAATAATTAGTAAAAAAAAAAATAACCAAATTACTTTTTTTTAAAGGAGTAAATATACTGGATAATTAGCATATTGACTGATCAACTGTTTGGCGTGAACATGACAAATTACCTGTCAGTTTACCCGTGAAACTGACAGAGCAGCAGGAAAGGTTACACAGCAGATCCCTCAAGCACGGTTTTTGACATTTGAAGCAAGCTCATTATCAGGATGGCCAATTGAAAATGTTTAAATGTTCTAAATATATTAGAGTTTCACAGTGTCATGGTCAATTTATCTTGATATGCCAACCGCTAGAATCAGGCACTTAAAAAAAAAAGCTAAAAATTCATATTTAGTTTTGGGATGTGAAGAATTAACCAAATCAAGAATGTGCTTATTTTTCTCTGATTGCAAACAGTAGTGAGCATTTCTCCTTTGGCAGTTTAACAACAACAAAAGCTTGGAATCTCTTAATGCTTTATCATTTTCAGTGCTTTAGAGGAATTTCATATTCCCTTGAAGCATCCTTTTCTCAGCTGGAGAACAGATCACACTCCTGTGGTACGGTTATTAGTGAGAAGTTCCAATTTGTTAGGAATGATAAAGCATGGAGATGTGCACTGATTGCCTTTTTTTCTTTTTATAAATGTTTGCCTCTATTCTTATATACTGCTACCACTCGCTTGCACTTTGATCTGCTTTCCTGAGTGGGATCTCAGCCTGGGTGCTGGGAATTGCCCGTAATCCTAGGTTTGCCCCCTGAGAGTGGGTGGAGCAGGTGACCATTATCCATCCATTACGCTCTGGCCGGGACTGGTTGACAAGCTCCATCCTGGAGCTTTATTGCCTTCGTGAAAGAGCATTTCAAGCCCCACTCCGGTCTTGCCTATTAATCATAGGAGCTACTTTTTATTGAGTGTTCCTAGCTCCTGTGCAAAGCCCATGGCATGCATTAGGTACTTAATCCAATGGCATGGTTTATCAGTGGCTTTTCATTAAAAAGATAAATTGACATTAACAAGCATTGATTGCCAAAGATTTATGCTGTTGTGTCCGTTTCACTCTGTTGTGGCCTAATACAATTTACTTTTGAAAGATATTTTGTAAGATACACAAACATGTGTGCATTTCAGATCTGGTATTTCGACCTAATCCCAACAGAATATTTACTTTGATAACTCTGCATCACGTGAAAACAAGAGCTTGTTTGGTTGTGAGTCACGAGACGCAAATCTTTAGCCCTGTCTTTCCTGACTACACACCAAAAAAGGAGAGCAGAGCTAGACGGTTTGAGAAAATTTCTTCCTGCTTTAGAATTTGGTGTGTGTAACGCTGATTTTAAGCCAGGCCAGAAGATCAGGGAAGAATGGAACCAAATTCTTCTCATGGTAGTTTCTGTGAAGAAATTCTAAGTTGCTTGACTCTGGTGGCTTCATCTTAAGTGCCTCGTTGGTAACATGAAGTGCCTGGCCCTCTTAGGACCCTAGGCGACATTGCCATCTATCTGCACGGTGCAGACCAAGGACAAAGCCCAAAGGCACAACACTAGAAACCTTCCGCTCTGAAATGACATCCATCATTTAGTAACTACTTTGAAAGCACAGTATCCCATTCTGATTCCGCTTGAGTGTATGATTAAGTGACCTTAAATTTTGTTGATTGCAAGTACAGAATGCAGGCATGTTTTCAAGTATACTGGCTCGTTGCCGGCATTTCGCTATTTCATCCCCCAAAATACAAAAAAGATTTTATCAAATGACTTGTGAGGTCAGCATAGAAGATGACATTCACCTGACCTAGTCCTCATAGCTTTAAAGAAAAAAATAGATTGCTTTTCACAATACAGTATGTCATTGATGGTTTCCAACTTTCAAAGCCCCCTGATTATTTTAGTGGAGTATAGTGGAGTCACTTAAGTGACTTCATCCTACTTCTCCTAACTTCTATCCCAGAAAATAAACAGAAGAGGCAATTTAATAAAATATGGTATTTGCATAAATGTGAATATATTTTAAAGTATGTGGGGCTTGGTCTTTTGTAGTGTAGATTCTCACCAGCAGTAGACTAAATGAAAAAGCTCACATTTTTGTGCAGTTCATATTTTATAGCAACCCTGGACCACCCAGCAGCTGATCCAACAAGGCACTGGTTTTCTGTAGACTTTAATCTGAGGGCATTTGAATTACAGATCTGCCAGTCCTAGGTGTTTCCCTGAAGTAGCAAGAACAGGCATTCTAACATCAGAAAGTAAATTTCACATATTCTCTTGTCAAGCTCCGTACTGGTAAATCTCAAATATTCTGTCAAGCTGCATGTTGGAGAATCACACTCTTCCACAAATCAGTGGTTTTCAGACTTTGATGTGTTTATCAGAATCTCTTGGTGCGAGACTGCTTGTTTGGGATGCCCGTCGTCCTTCATCTGAGTAGGTAGTTTCAGGAAGGTCACGTGGACAGAAAGGTGAGGAAACAGGCTGAGATGTGAGTTGCCCACGTCATCATGACCGGCAAGACAGAGCCAGTGCTCACTCAACGGTAGACATAACTTCCTTCCCCTGTACTGACAGTGAATCTCACTGAACTTCCCGTGCCTCGTGGACCACCAGCATCCTGTGCATGGGGTGCTGTGAATGCTGTATGCAGGTAGGGGGCAAGGAACGCACAGGTCCCCTGCTCATACACATGCTCCCGTTGTCCCATTGGATTTCACTTGCAGAACCCAAGTTCAAAGATCAAATTATTGAGAATTTCCAGACATTGACAGCAGAATGTGAAACCAAGCTTGAGGCCCTTCTGAGAGCGGGACTGTCTGTGATTAAAAAAAAAACCAGAGGCAAATCTAATTTGATCTTGAGTACCCAGATGTTAGCACCACCCTCCAGGTTCCAGAAACCAATCTGGACAATTTGCTGAAGAGTGCCCTTGGAGGCACCTCTTTTTTAATTGCGTTCCCT